AGTATCCTCTAAGACAAATCGAAGGCCTTGAGGAGGTTGGCCATGAACTTTTACCTAGATGGTGAAGTGTTGTACAAACGGAGTTTTGATGGAACATTGCTTCGGTGTCCGAATGCGATTGAGGCCGGGAGAGTGGTTGAAGAGGTCCATAAGGGAATTTATACAACTCATGCAAACGGTCACATTTTGACCCATCGGATATAACAATGCGAATATTTACGGTTGATAATGGAAAGGGATTGCATAGAGTATGTTCGCAAGTGCCATAAGTGTCAAGTCTATGGAGATCGGATCAATGCTCCTCCTGTTCCACTTAATAATATGGTATCACATTGGCCTTTCACCATGTGGGGTTTGGATGTCATTGGGCCTATTAATCCTAAAGCAAGCAACGGTCATCGTTTCATCTTGGTGGCAATTGACTATTTTACCAAATGAGTTAAAGCTGCTTCTTATGCTTATGTCACTCGGAAGGTGGTCCGGCGGTTCATAGAGAAGAGTTTAGTTTGTTGGTATGGTTTACCGGACATGATAATCATGGATAATGCTCGAACTTCAATGGAAAGATGATCAAAGAATTATCCGGAAGGTTGAAGATTAAACATCCGAACTCGACACCCTATCGACCTAAGATGAATGGGGCGGTTAAAGATGTAAACAAGAACATCAAGAAAATCGTACGGAAGATGGTTGTCACATATAGAGACCGGCATGAAAAGCTCTCATATGTCCTACATGCATATCGTATGATCGTAAGAACATCAACGGGGCAACACCATATTCTTTGGTTTACGAGATGGAGGCGGTGATGCCTTTGAAAGTAGAAATCCCTTCTCTTATGGTACTCATGGAGACACGAGTTGGAAGAAGCGAGAATGGTATCGGATCGGATATGAACAGTTGAACATGATCGGTGAAAAGAGGCTAGTTGTCATTTGTCATGCAAGAATGTATCGAAAAGGATGGCCAACGCATACAACAAAAAGGTTCGATCAAAAGAATTTGGTGAGGGAGATCTAGTGCTTAGGAAAGTTTTATTGATACATAGGGAGAATAAAAGCAAGTGGTCACCCAACTATGAAGGCCCTTATATAGTGAGGAAAGTATTTTCGGGAGGAGCACTCCTTTTGACCAATATGGATGGGGAGAACATAGTCAAACCTATAAATTCGATGCGGTTAAGAAATATTATGCTTGAGGGTTGTTGTTTTCTTTTTCATGAAATGAAGAATGAAATTTAGGCCAAACATGTACATTGTATTCTTCTTTCCATCTCTGTTTCCTCGACCCCATAAACACATCACCTCTTTTGTCATTTCATGATCTCTATTAATATTATAAATAACATACAAGTTAATTAAGATATTATAGTAGTGTTTTACTTAACAAACGACATGCTCGACCTTCTCCCAAAAAAAAAAAAGCCGATGAACCACTGGAAGAACTTAGGATCTATATGCCTTTTGAATTAGAGCCACTTGAAAACATATTAAGATTACTCCGGACTAGGGAAAGCAACCAAGATGTCAAGAAAAAGGTAATCGCTCAACGTTATATTAGTCCAATAATAGACAAATAAAATGTTGAGCCGAGTGAAAAGGAAGAAGTACATCTTGTCGACACTCTAGGCTCGTCATGCAACATGCCAAAAAAAAAATTCGAGCCAAAAATATTTTTCATTGGTACATGTCCCAAATTGCTCCTATGGCACCGTCCATCAAAATGACATAGCAAATGTTTAGATTTGTAGGTCCTATCTTGATATTTTTCTAATAAAAGGGGTTCAAGAAAATAAAGCTCGTATAGATCGGATATCGTTGTCGATAGGATGAGAAAAGGTCGTATAGATCATATACTCGTTGTCGATATGATGAGGAAAGGCCTTCTAAGGAATTTTATCATACTTAGATGAAACATATCCATTGAAAACCAAGTTTGAGTTTTCTATTTTTCTTCATGAAAATCGGACTAGGATCACCCCCCACATTAGGGGGAAAAAAGAATTTGAGAGGCATGTCACCAAACAACTTGTGGTCCGCAAAAACCCAAAAAGGGTCATTACCAAAGAGGATTAGGAATGAAGGAGGACTAAGGTCATGATCTTTCCACGCACTCAAAAAAAAAAAAAAAAAAACCAAAGCTTCCAAAAAAAATGGGTCCTACTTCATTAGAGAAAAGAGTAAATCACCTCACAAACCCCAATCCCAGTTAGGTTGACAAAATCATAATGAAACATGCCTCTAATCAAATCTGATTTAAAAAAAAGAAAAAAAAAGAAAAGTGGTCCTATGTCAAGTGAACCTTGAAACACTATTTGAGCATATTTTATCCGTTCTTCAGGAAACCATGCCTTAGCCTATATTACGTACCAATAAAAGTCCTTTCTAACTAGAGACAAGTAATCGATCGGTCGAATGTCGGATTCACGAACCCCTACAAGAGAATTCTTATTAAACGAGATAGTCAAAATCGAGACATAGGCTAGTCAAAATCATGGTTGGTGCCAATACTTAGGGGCAAACAATATCTTCTATCATTGTGATTTCCCACTCGTTAAAGTTCAACATTCAAACCAAAAAAACACCATTGTTACAACCCTTGAAACATTTGCATGACAAGTCCACGAGTTCGATGGGTTTTGCTTGACCTTTGAATCTAAAACCTCCGAATGAGATCTACCTAGCTTTCCTTATGAAGGAGAAAATTCATGAAATGGAGTAGTGTCAAACATTTCGAAAGGCATATGGAACCTCAAGTTATAAGGAAAGTCACCAAAACAGCAACCAATCCACCATCCCTCCCATCAAACGTAAGCGGTCGGTAGACAACCGATCAAGCTAGGGAGTGATCATTACCATCAATAGACCAAAGGGATTATTGTATTCCTCATAAACTTTTGGAGGATAAATCAACCAAATTCATAAGAAAATGGAAAACACGATCGAGGGCGGGGCCACAAAGCTCAAAACACCAATAGCCAATCGATTGCTAATAATTGAAAGAGAGAAGTCAAACAAAAGGATTCGAGCGGGGCGGCCTATGTTTCTTATAGGTACCTTAACTAACTAGTATGCTCGAGTTTGTTTTCGGGCACATTGCAATCTCGATGGATACAAAGGGAATGGAGAAGCAATACTCTTCATAAATCCACCTCGGGTATAGTAACCTCACAATAGACCACCAGTCCAATCTGCGGAACCCTAAGTTGAATAACCATTTTCGAGTAAGGGCAATTAACTCAATTCAGCGAGGTAAGATTGCCAATTTTTTCTTAAAAATTTAATTTTTAGGATACGCCGACCTTTGCAATAAGGCCACGCACCACATGTTTAATTTTCATTGCATATTTAATTTTCGGGGTAGGCTACCTTTTACAATAAGGCCATGCACCGCATGTTTAATTTTCACTTGCATAGTTAATTTCTAGGGTAGGTCGCCTTTTACAATAAAGCCACGTATCCGCACGTTTGATTTTCGGGATAGATCGCTCTTTACAATAAGGCCATGCATTGCATATTTAATTTCTAGGGTAAGCTACCCTTTATAACAAGGCCACGCATCGCACGTTTAATTTTTAGGGTAGGTCGCCCTTTACAATAAGATCATGCATCGTATATTTAATTTCTAGGGTTGGCTACCCTTTACAATAAGGCCACACATTGCATGTTTAATTTTTAGGGTAGATCGCCCTTTACAATAAGGTCACACATTGCACGTTTAATTTTCGGGGTAAGTTCGTCCTTTACAATAAGGCCATGTATCGCACGATTAATTTTCAATGCACGTTTAATTTTCGGGGTAGGTCGCCCTTTACAATAAGGCCATGTACCGCACATTTAATTTCAATGCATGTTTAATTTTTAGGGTAAGTTGTCATTTACAATAAGGTCATGCATTGCATATTTAATTTAGGGTAGGTCGCCCTTTACAATAAGGCCATGCACTCTGCATTTTAATTTTTACAGTCATCCCATCATAGCTTTGCTTTTAATTTTTTTAAAAAAAAACCTTTTCTTTACAAGCTTATTAAACAAAGTCGGTGAAAAGCAATCTTTTTACTTGACTTTGCGCCATAAGTATTGTAAAGAGGGGCAACTGTAATAACCCAAAATTTATTTATTTATTTATTTATTATTTATTTATTTATTTATTTATTTATTTATTTATGTTTGTTTATTATTATTATTTTTTAATTTGAAGTTTACTAAAAAAAAAAAAGAAGAAAAAAAAGAAAAGAAAAAAAGAAAGAAAATGATGAAAAACACAAAAATTCATTTAGGAAAACAATTGAAGTAATTAGGGGTGTAATCGGGTCAATTAAAAAAATTAGGCCTTAAATTGCACTTCAGGGACCTAATTGATGAGATTGTGCTGAAATTATACCATCGAAGGGCATAATTATAGAAGTTGAAACGTGAGGACCAAGCCGAAAGTTTGGAGCGAATGACAAGACTAAAATGGAGAAGACGACACTGTTATCCACTCCAAGGCAAATTCTCTGCGAAAATCTTTGGAGAAATCGCCAAATCCAAGATCAAATTTCCTGTTTGATTATGCATTATTAGACCGAATTAATACCAACGAGAAAATCAAGCAATTTCCTATTTTGATTTTGCATTAATCATGAATTAAAGAGGAAAATTTTTTACAAAAAATTTCGGGATTTGAGATTTGATTCTCAAAGAAATTTTAGAAAATTTTGTGTTATAAAACATTTTGAATTTCACGGAAAAAGGGGGAGAAAATTGGGAGAGGAATTCGGGTTAAGAGAGGGTGAAAATCGAAAGCAAAAAACCAAATTTTTGATCTTTTAGCAGTTGGGTTTTACGGGTTTTTCGGGTTCTTGGGTTTGAGTGTTCTTCGTGTTCTTCATCTTGGGTTTGTAAATTTCATCTGTGTTATTCATTCTTTGATTTTTCCGGGTTTGGATGAATTACCACACGTTCTTTAACTTACTTTCCGGGTTTGAAGCCTCAATCATTGCTCTTTTTAGGGTTTTGTTAACCAATTTTGTTGGGCGACTTTTGAGCCATTGCTCTTTTTGGGTTTCGAGTTTTAGAGTTCTTCAAGCCTTTAAACTCCAATTCTTCATTCCGCCATCCGCCCGAGCATCCTAAGTTCGTTGAATACCCCTCGGGACCTCCAAAAACACCTCGGGCTTCCACTCCCCTCGCCTGCGGACAATCCTTCACATAAGTAAATTTGGTGAGTCCGCATTTTTTTTCTCTCTCAACTTTGATCTCGTTTAACTTTTGTTTCAACTGATTATCAATTACACGTTTAGACTATAAATTTGGTCTTCTAAGGAGGTAAGAGCGAGGAACATGGTATGTTGAATGAGGCTTTCAATTTCCGATGAGAAGCTGGAAAAAATAGAGAGAGAATAAAAAGATTGGGAGATCTAGAGAGAGAGGAAGTCGGGATGGGGTTTGACCAAAATTTTGATTTTGTTTTAACCTAGGGCCTGTTTATGGGTTTGAGCCGTTCGGGCCGAGAAAGAATGTGACTGGAGTGATTTCATCCCGAGTCCGGCCAGAGTAAAAAAAAATAGAAAGAGCTCTTACCCCAAATAAAAGCGAGTCGGACCGGAATTCGACCCGGCCCGCGTCCCTCAAAAAAAAAAAAAAAAAAAAGAGGGGGGAATAAAGAAAAAAAATAGAATTAGAAAAAAAAATAGGTAAAAGGAAGAAAAAAATAAGAAGGAAAAAGGAAAAAAGGGGGATGGTTACAAAAAAAAAAAGAGAGTAAAAGTTGAGGGTTAATGGTTTAGATATAAGATGATTTTTTTCTCTTCTATTATTCATTTATTTTTTTTAGCTTGTTTATTTTTATTCCTTATCGTTTTTTATATTAATTTAGAATTGCTATTTCAATTTTTTATTATTTTCTTTTCGTTAATATATATTGTTAGAAAAAAGAAGAAGAAATCTTGATAAAGTCTCCTATCCGATAGGGATCGACGTCACAAAAAAATGCCTAAAATTTTTGGCAAAGCCTCCTACATGGTAGGGACCGACATCATCAAAATAATAATAATAATAGTAAATAAATAAATAAATTCGACGAAGTCTCCTATCTAATAGGAACCGATGTCACCAAATTCAAAATTTTCGATGAAGCCTCCTATTTGATAGGGGCGACGTCACCAAAAATCACCTTTTAGTTAAGACATCCTCCGACACGCCGGTTGTGTCAAGGATTTTAGTGGATCCGATGTTTGAATCGACGTGTCGCCCAACGAAGGTGACCGACGATCGTTTCAATATGATGCCATGTCCAAAACAAAAAAAAAAATCATTTAGTCTAAAAGAAAATAGGAGATTAAAATTTAGAAAAATAGCTTGACATGGATTTTAGGAGATAATTTAGAACTAAATCGTACATGGTACCTTTTTCGAAAATGGCATTTTTAGGTGATTAAATATCTTCTTAAAAGCGTAACCAACTCCTTACCTTAGGAATCTCCGAACCAAGTACTACTTTTAGGTTCCTAGTTTCTTAAATACTAGGTGGCGACTCCAAAACTCGCAAATAATTTTTGTAAATAACTAATGCTCGGACTTTAATTTTCTTTAGGGGGTCCCGTCCGATGTCGTGTAGCGACATTGGACACAAGTGAACAAACTACAATTGGATTAGTCAATGGATGAGCCTTATCTATATATAATCATTATAGAATTTTTTCTATATATGTTGATTGATGAATAAAAATTTCATCCTTTAAGTGTTCGAGCTATAGGCCAAGATAAAATTTTGTTTTTCCAAAGTCTTTTATATCAAATTCTCTTTTTAAATAACTTATGGCACTTAGAATCTCTCTAAAAATTTTAATTATATTTAAATCATAAATATATACGAGTAATTATCACAAATTCTTTTTTGGATTTTTTTTTGAAGGGAGGGATACAAAGTTAAAATTTCGTTTTGTACAAACAAAGCAGGTACTTTCATACCCCTTAAGTGGTTGGATGATTCAATTGTGAACTCTTACAAGAATGGCCTGTACTCATCATCTGTGTTATTGTAGAAAATGTGCGTCGATTTTAGCACAAATAAATGCTTGTTTAATTTCTCGAAGGATGAATTGAATTTCAGTAATCACAAACAAAAGCTGGGAATTCCTCAAACAACAAAAAGAAACTTCGTCATGTAATATTAAATTTATTTATTTGTCTTCAATGCTTTGCAAAAGAACTTCGTTGGAGAGTATTTTAACTTCTCAAAATTATAAATATCAATTGAGAAATTTATCAAGATAAATCACAAGATTGATTGGAGTAATTTAAAAAATTGACTGATTTATTTTCCTTTCTTCACATATTATCCATTATAAATATGGATGGTTAACTTGTAATATTTTTAAAACATCAATCAATTAAAATATAATATTTAGTTCTTATCATTTTTTGTATCCGTGGAGTAAGCTACCATAGCCAAGCCAGACCACGTTAATTTTTTAATCATTCATTCATTTTCTGCTACTAAAAAATTTAATTGAAAAAAATGCATAACAGCTATAGTAGCTAACAGAATTAGAAGAATGAACTAAAGAAGTACACACACTCCAAGTAATCATCCCTTCATTGATTGGCCGTACTGCCACGCACGTCGAAACAGCAGTTAAGAAAACGGTAAAAGCTGGATCAACAAGAACAATCAAGGGCCAAGGAATAACACAGATAATTCGTTTCCCCAAGAAAGTTAAATGAAGCAGGTACAGTTATCGTACACACAACAGCTGAAGTACTTTCCTAATATGCAAGAAATTAAATACGTAACTGCATGCCCCAGCTAAAGTACAATTCCTTTTTACAACATAACTGTGCGCTCACCCTCAATTGATAGGCCATACTGCTACATAGGTAGCAACGGCAGTTAAGAAAATGGTAAAAACTGCAGCAACAAGAGCAATAAAGGCCCAAGGACTACTAAAATAATCTTGCAGCGACTGAGCAACCCATTTCTTGATAATACCCTCACACTGTATATTAATTTTTCTTTTAACATCATTATAAGCATTAGTCTCGGGTTCCAGAGACTTGGTCATGTCGTTAAAAATTTTTGCAACTTCTTCATCCGCTCCAAGATAATTATAGACTATTCCTTTCGATCGCAGCTCCTTTACATCTTCAGCATCATTAATCAGTGAATCCATGAAGCATAGGTAAGAAGTGACCCAATGTTTTTTCTTTGGAACTGCAGATGATTCGTAGGCCACCAAGTTTAAGAGCATGGACTTGGTTGACTTATCTATGGTAATTGGAGGAAGTTTCAATGTTCCAGTGAAAATTGAAGACCTGAACTTGACATCCGTCAGTGCATTAGTCCTGCTTGGCCGGAAGTGAATTCCAACCTTCTTAAGATCCTTGGCAGAATAATACAAGTAATGACCTCGGTGTCCTGATTCACCAGACTCCTTGGTTTCTACAGGGATGAATACAGAAGTCCAAGGAGATGTGCAGGCTGTTTATCTCCTGTGGCCTCTTTTTTCTTTTTAGGTGGTGATGGCGGCGAAGTCTGATTCCAAGAGCACAAACAACAGCAGCAGGAAATATATATGAATGACCCCAAAAAAAGAATGGATAGCAGGGCTAACATTGAAAGAGATTTGTGAGGTTTGCGAATTTGTAGAAATTCATCAATCATTTTCTCCCTTTCTTCTTCTTTGAACCTCAATTTCATCAACGAATCAAGGACCAGATATGGGAGCTGATTCTCCAATAATAACAGGTCCCGTCTCACATTGGCAACTTCCTGATCACTCATCTTCAAATTATCATACTTGCTCGTGACACAATGGATGAATTGGAGAACAAAGCAACCATCAATAAACATCATCTTGGTGGAGTCATCATCATCAATCGTTTCTATTAAACTCTCATCATAGAATTCTTTCGCTTGTTTGGCCACCTTTTCTACCTCCCAGACCCCGTAAAATTCTTCTCTCTCTTTTCCACTTTGTAGGATAAACTGGCGTGTCATCGAATTCTTGAAACTCTCTCCATTCTTGAGTTTCTCCACACGATCCGAACGGTGATAAGGTCCGATTGAGACCACAAAAGGATTGTAGCATTCCTTGTTCTTGTTTTCACTCTTAAGAAGTTTTTGTGGAACCTTCGGAATCTTTGGCCCTTGCGGATGATTGCTTTCAGCCTCTTCAACCTCATCCATTATCTGGATAAGCCACGAAGGACAAGAACCTCCGTCCCTTGGGATTGCATTATTTGGTGGTATTTCACTTTCAGCCGTTGAAGCTTCGGGAGTCTTTTGCTGTTGGGATTGGTTGTTTTTATTCTGATCGTCTCCCAGATTCACCATTGGTCTCACCTTATCCTCCTCACTGCCCGAAGCACTTGAACTTGGGTCATTCCTTGCGTCATTTGGATTCGTTTCAGCCATTTTGCTACAGACTAATAAACGGAGGATTCTCTGCTATTGGAAACTGATCAAAATGATAAAAGCTGACACAGAACATTAAAAACATTATCAAGCATGAGCACTTGAGAACAAAAATTGAAAACTAAAACTTTTCATGCATCATAGTACTCTAAAAACCAACAAGAAAAATGTACACAAAAACAAATCTGTAGCTATAAACCAATTTGAACTCACAAAAGATCGGATACTTACAAGAAAATGCCTCCTCTTTCAAGCTGCTCCCCATTCGTCTGCTGCACCTCTTACTTCTTTAATACACAAAATTGTCCCCAGTTGTTCCTATTACACTCAAAATTCATACAATACAAAGAGGTTTTGTCCATTGTCCTCTGCTCTCCCACTCACTGTTTTTTGCTCCATTAACTGTTGGTTGCTTCACAACACTCTCCTTCTTTCAGCTCACACACTTATAAGATAAGATTCATATCTACAATCAATTCTAGCAAGGGAGCCAATTGCAAAAGAACAAGAGCATACATATCTTACATAGACTTAACCAAAAATGCCCTTATAAGTTGGAGTTCCAAAACCCGCTGAATAATAATGCAAGAAATAGAGTTATAAAAAAAAAAAACAAACAAACAAACATCGTTATATTACAGTGCATTAGTGCTTCATACCAGACACCACACCAATAAATAGAAATTTCTCAAAAATAGCTACCCCTTGCTTCCAAAATTTTCATATACTTTCTAAACTTTCTCTCCACTCAGCACTCCATCACACTGATGATCAAAGTATTAAGGCCAAGCCTTCCTATTTACACTAGCAGTCGGTGGCAAAATCCCTTTTCCTAAGTCGGTTCCCAAGTATGAGGAAAGTGCCATTTCTTGTCAAAATAATTTTTGTCAAGGAAGCGACAATTTCCACGAGAACGTAATCAAAAGTAAGAAATTAGTCGACACCAGCCAAAACGTTTTTTTTTTTTTTTTTTACTGTCCTTATTTTCGTACTTAGTCAACACCAGCCAAAACATTTGTTGTTACTGTCCTTATTTTCGTACTTTTCTTTTCACTCCCCTTACATCGCCCACAAAACTCTTCCCACCATTCTTTTCCTCGGTGGGACCCATTGCAATGAAACTCCATACAATCGTGGAATGCAAAAATCAAACCCAGCCACAGGCTAAATCACTTCTGGATAGGTGTAGGGCCTCTCAAATAATTCAGCCTTTCTTGTAGTGTAATGCTCAGGATTGGTTTTGGACTAATCTCTCGAATGATCACAGGCCAGTCAATGATTCCCAGCCATGGAATATGTGGTTTGGAGTCTGTTGTTGGCTTTTATGGTCTTCGCCCATTAAAATCTTACCTGATGACAGATTTTGGCCTCCTACTATTCCAGTGAATGCAGTTGCATTGTTTACAAACCAAGTTGAAATGCTGTGTTCTTTACATAAACATATTTGCATGAAGCAGAAACTTCTTATTGGTTGGCTTAAATCTTGTAGAAGTTGGGTTAAATTAAACAAAGATAGAACCTTACATAGTTCCATTGTGTATTACGGGATGATTCAAAAACTTGAATTTAAGGCTTTTTTTTTATACAAAAAAAAATAATAATAAATAAATAAATAATTGTTTGGTGTTATGTGCTGAACTTTAGGACATTTTCATTGATTTGAAAATGACTTTAAATGCAGGTTTTGGTCGAGTACTATTACAAACTAATTTAAAACTAACTATTCGGTTACTATCTTTAGAAAGAGTTCATAATGGAGATTATAGCCAATTGATTCATACTATTTAGGGGCTATTTAAACGGTCATAGCAAATTCATATTTCTCATATTTTTAGATAAACATATCGCGGATTAGCTCGCATTTTATACTTACTCTCTTTCTCTAAGAATTTTATATTTTTGAGATGGATCCTGTGGGTTGTATAAGCTTTTTGTTAGAAAATATTTGCGTAGTTACGTCTAGAATTTTTAATTTTAACTAGTTTCTTAGAACTTTGTCTCCCTCTCTCATTCAACAAATTTCATGAGTGTTTTCAACTGCTAATATGATTAATCGAGTTATTTGAAATTGGCAAATATTTGTTTTTCATTGCCTATTGAAGTTGATGATGGTTGTCTCTAGCCATTATAAGGTTGTTTGATAATGTTGAATCTAATCAAGCCAAGTGAGCTATCCTTTCCTAAGTAGTGTTCCAAAAATGAGAAATGTGAATTTTGTATATGGATTATTAAGCACGTCATTGAAAGCTACTCAACATATGAGAGTAGAATCCATACTTTGATCAAGAATGATTGGTTGTAGCTCATAAAAAAAGGTGAAGCCGATTACATTAATATGGATCTTATGACATGTTTAGTAACTAATAGTGTGAACAATGTCAATGTTACCACCTGAGAAACTATATGATGATTGTCATGTCAAAAAAGAGAACTAATAAATAAAAAGAGCTTGGAAAGAGATTGATCATGATGACAAATATAGAAAAGCTCATTAAGCTCATTGAAGAAGACAAATGCCTTGACTTTATGAATAAAGTCTTTTAACTTTTATTGAATTTTTGAACTCTATTTTTCAAAAGGTGTTATGGTTTTCATGGATCGAGTCATTTTTTTGAATGAAAGAAGAAAATTTTGATCTCCTTACATAGTTTTGTTATTGATTTGAAAAAAACATTGATTATTTGAAAGTATCATTTGTCATTTTATGTCATCTAAATCGGGAATAAAATGACAAATCCATTCAATATATTTTAAAATTGATCAATTTTAAAAATATATCATGTAAATGCTATGGTGCAATCCCTCTTTACGAAACTAAAAACACATTTTTCCATTCCCAATAGACCTTTTAGAAGATAATTTTGCGTAAGGAATGCGTTGATACCCAACATGGAAAATTAAATGATTTGATATCTTAAATGATGATAAGTGATATACATTTGGATCATGATCCCACCCCACACACTACTTTTTTTTCTAAATTAATCATGATTTTTAAATAAGACTAGATCTTATAAGCCTAAACAAATCAGATTTGAGATGAGGAAATATCATTTTTTGTATATCCTTTCATTAATATATTTTATCCTTTGTCATCTAACTTTGAGCCTTCAAATTTTATTTCAACAATAAGCTAGACTAGGATCATCCCTCACACTAGAGGTAATTTTAAAAATTTATGAACAATCAATGATGTTCTTTTAGAAAAAAAAGATGAAAAGAGAAACGATGATGATTCATGAAAACTTATTGAAGGAACCTAAGAATGACTATAAAAAGGGGAATGAAAGAAAAAAGTTAACACTAAGTTAGGAAAAAAAAGTATTGTTAAAATGATTATCTATCATTGATTAGAAGTTAAGAAAGGGTTTCAAAATCCAAAAGATGATAAGAGTGAACTTGAAAGCAAAGTTGAGACTAGCAAAATGAGATCAATCATCAAAATTATAAAGTCAAGGTGGCATGTCTAAAGAGATTTTAATGAACAATTAAGTGATCCCGAGTCTATATATCTCAAACACTTTTTGAGCCTATCATATCCTTCGATTCATAAGTCAAAGCATCGACCTACATTACATGTCTTTAAAAGCCATTTCGATCAAAGTTATTGGTTTTTATTATACGAAATTCAAGTGAAGTTGTGAGCTTTCATTTCGGACACTCATATGTGGATTTTTATTTCATGTTTTTAATCAAAGTTGTGGGCTTTCATTCTATGCAATTAAGTGAAGTTGTGGGCTTTCATTTCATCCATTCATACATGGGTTTTTATTTTACATTTTTAATCAAAGTCATGGGTTTTTATTTTATGTGATTTAAGGAAAATTGTAGCTTTCATTTCACGTATTTATACATGGGTTTTTATTTAACATTCTAATCCAAATCATGGGTTTTCATTTCACATAATTTAAGTGAAGTAGAGGGCTTTCATTTCACTCATTCGTAAAGGAGTTTTTATTTTATTTTTTTAATCAAAGTAATGATTTTTCATTTCATGTAATTCAAGTGAAGTTGTGGGCTTTCATTTTATTTATTCAAGTGTGAGTTTTTATTTCACTTTTTAAATCAAAGTTGTGAGCTTTAATTTCACACATTTTAAATGAAGTGGTGGGCTTTTATTTCACGTATTCATATGTGAGTTTTTATTTCATGTTTTTAACCAAATTCACGGGTCTTCATTCTATGCATTTTAAGTGACATCGTGGGCTTTTATTTTATGCATGTGTGGGCTTTTATTTCATGTATTTTAAGAAAATATATTAATTTTCCTTTCACATATTTTGATTAAAATTGTAAGTTTTCACTTCACACGCTTTTTATGTGATTTTCATTTCATGCTTTTGTGTGTAAGTGGTTTCAAGCCATTTGAGTATTTGATTGGGTTTTAATCTTTTTTTACTCTCTTTTGAATTTTTATACCTATTTACTTTAGAGTGAGAATAAGGTCTTCAACTACCTAAGTTTCGAATCACTTGATTCACTAGTTTATGATTCAATGATAAACATATCTGTTGTTGGTTCTTTTGTGCTGACTTCAACTAAAAATACTTTATATATATAAAAAAAAAAAAAATACAAACTATTATTGAGAGGCCTTCGCAAGGTAGTCAATCTCCTTATCGTATAGGTAGATGAATCAAATTAATTTTGTAAAATAAACTAGTGCTAATTTTAATAATTTTTTTGATGTTTTGTATTATAAGCATATTAAATTAAACTAAGTGTAATATGTCTAAAATCCTTGGCAAGAAATCATGACTCTCCAAGCTAGTTAGGTTGCAGAATTACAGAGACAATAACTCGATATAAAAGATAATCTAAACTAAGAATCAAATAATTTATGATAATATGTAATTTGAACAACATAACTAAACTAGAAACTATAAAATTAAACGATCATGACACTAAGAAATACAAACTGCAATATGAATAAAAATCAATCTAGAAGGAGGTTACGTAGAACTCATTGAAAACTTGATGGGCTTTATTCATTTTTTTCAGTTTAATTTATTGGTCAAGATCCAAAATAAATTTGGATATAACAATCCCCAAATAGATATAAACTTTCATTATATTAAAAACCAGTTTAGTAATCACAAACAAAGTAGGGAATTCCTCAAACAACAAAGAAAAACTATGTCATGCATGTAGCATTAAATTAATTTATTTGTATTCAATGCTTTGCAAAAGGATTCATCCATTACACATGAAAAATGCAAAATAGCAATACAATAGCCACCAGAATAATAAGAATGAACTGTCTGCTAAATTAAAGAGGTACAAGGTACACCCTTCAAGTAATCATCCCTTGATTGATTGGCCGTGCTGCTACACCGATCGAAACGGCAGATAAGAAAATGGTTAAAGCTGGAGCAACAAGAACAATTAAGGCCCAGGGACTTACACAGATAATTTGTTTCCCGATAGAAAGTTAAAAGAAGCAGGTACCATTGTGCACACAATAGCTAAGTACTTACACAGCTAAATGCAAGAAATAAAATATATAACTGCATGCACACATTCTTTTTACAGCAGAACTGTGTGCTCACCCTTGCAGTAATCATCTCTCGCTAGAATTGAAGACAATAATATTGAAGATAATGAAAAAGTTAAAAGACTTGTTTTGGAGATTTAATTTATTTTTTGTATTGCTGGTTGTATATATAGCTTATAGAAATACATAATAACTTTAAAACATTTACACCTAACTGCACATAGCTATCTATTAGTTTGTATAAGATACAACAGCCTGAACTACCATTTTAATTTTTACAAACAACCTGGACTCTTTTGAAAGCAGTCTGAGCTTGGTAAAAAGGCAAATCGATCGTTTCTCAATGGTTTTGTCATAACATCTGGAATATGATCTTTTGAAAAAAGAAACTTTACCTCAAGTTGCTTCTTGGTCACCAACTCTAAAAAAATGAAAATCTATTTCAATATGTTTAATCCTTTCATGAAACATGGGATTGACATTATCACATTATACAACTAAACAGGAGGTAGACTGAAACTGAATACCCAACTCTTTCAGCAAAGATTAGAAATTTTTAGTTTTGTTTCTTACTTGACATATATAGGCGGCCGGATTTGTTAAGATGGAAGAAAAAGTAGCAAAAGTGAATGACATATCTTACAGAAGCATAGGCAGAAATTAAAACAACAAATGAAAACCAATGCTTCTATATGCATACATAAATGTTAATCAGGGTATTGCATAGTAGGTCTGAGTAGCGGTTAGTGCCAACCCAAGAGAGGCAGCAAGAACTGTAATAACGGTCCAGGGACTCCTAAAATAAGTTCTCTTCCACTCAGATATCCATCTCATCAGGATGCGCCCACATTGCTTATTAATGTGCCCTTTAATATCATTATAAGCATCAGCATCAGGTTCCAAGGAATGGCACATGTCATTGAAAAGATCTGCAACCTGCTGGTCTGATCCCAGATGATTAAACAGTATGCTCTTAGATCGCAACTCCTCCACATCTCCAGCGTCGTCAATCAACGAATCCATGAAACATATGTATGAAGTGACCCAATGTTTACAAGCAGCACATTTTTCATAGGCCACCAAGTTTAAGAGCATGGATTTGGTTGATGCATCTATGGTAATTGGAGGAAGTTCCAAAGTTCCAGAGAAATAGGATGACTTGAATTTGACATCCATCAAAGCACCAGTCTGGCTCGGACGAAAACGGATCCCAATCTTCTTAAGATTCTTGGCAGAATAAAACAAGTAATGGCCTCGGCTTCCTTGAGTGTGCTTCATGGTTCTATTTCCTTCTTGAAAATTAACGAATTTGGAATACAGAAGTCCAAGAAGATGGGCAGGCTGTCCATCATCTCCTGTGGCTTCCTTTTTCTCTTCGGATGGTGCAGACCGATTTAAAGGAGAAGCTGGCCGATCTAAATCCGCACTAGGTGGTGGTGGTGACTGCTCTATTTCCTGTAGAAGTTTCTTGAGCGCACCACGACAACAAAAACAAATTATACAACATAAAGGAACTACTAAAGGTACTAACAACAGCACTATGATCGGGGTCATAACCAGCTGTACTGCAGTCAAGATTATCCAGACCCACTTTGGAATTTGTTCGTTTGGTTGGCGAATATACAGAGAGAGAAAATGATTGATGATTTCTTTCCACTCATCCTCTGTTTCGTACTTCAACGCCATCAATGACTTCAGGAATGAAAGAGGTAGTTGGTTCTCCAATAATAACAAGTCTCGTTTTACATGAACAATTTCCTGATTAGTCATCTCCAACTTTTCCCATTCGCTCTTACCACAGTGACCAATGAATTGGAGAATGAAGCAACCATCAATCATCATCATCTTGCTGAAATCCTCATCACTGAATTTTTCCGTTATTTTCTTACAGTAAAATCCCCTTGCGTCTAGAGCCCCCTTTTCTACTTCGCGGTAACCTTCTTCCGTCCATATTTTACTATCTTCTACAAACTGTAGCATCATTCGACACTTGAGCTTCTCCAACTTTCCAAGCTTATTCTGAGGATAAAAATAGTTATAAGGACCAATCGAAATCGCCAAGGGGTCGCAGAATTTCCGTGGTTCTTTCTCGAAAAATCTTTTCTGGAACCTTAGGAATCGTCGGCAATAGGGGTTGGTCATTTTTAGACTTTGTGATCTCTTCCTTCATTTTGGTAAGCCACGAAGGAAGTGAACTTTCATCCTTGTTGGAGTTACTGTTTTCTTGTGTTTCTGCTTTTGCAAACTCCAGGACCATTTCCCTTGCAGTTGGTTGTTTTCCTTCTCTTCTCCCTCGTTTGCCGTTGGTCTCAAGGGGTCATCCCCACTATCCAAATCAAGTGAAATCTGGTCGTTCTTTATTTCACTTTGATGCAGCTGGCTGTTATCATTCTCTTCACCCTCATTCGTTTCTTGTCTCAACATGTCATCTTTACTACGCGAAGAAAATGAACTGAGGTCGATCTTTATTTCACCTGGATTCGTTTCAGCCATTGCTGTAACATAGGCCGAGATGTGGTGATAGAGGCTCGATCAACTATGATGATAGCTGCTGACCTACAACATTAAAGACATTATGAATTAGAATCAGAAAACCAAAGTGCAATATCAAGACTAAAATGCAAAAACCATAGAATATTGAAATTCGGGACAGACAAATAAAGACGACGAGGTTTTGGTTCAAGCGAAAGTAACTTTCAAGCTCTCCCCAACTCCTTATTCTTCTAGTTGCCATTCAAAATCTGCCCCTTTTACTTTCTTCTTGTATATACAAAATACTCCAGTTGTTCCATCCATTGCCTGGAAGACTCCTTCACTCACAAAGACGGTGATGGATCAAGTCTTGGAACATAAAAATTAAAAGCAAAACACACTTTCATTATAGCACTTGCTCATCAAGAATATGCGAAAACTATAAACTATTAATTTTTTTTTAATAATGTAAATAATTTAAATTGTACGAATAAGGTATCCATAATAAAGACAGTAGATATTCACAAAACTATTTTCAAATCATACTCACATATCCATAATAATATTTTATTGTTTATTAATTTTGGATACATTTTTGAAGAATGGGTACGAATCAAGACGTGCCAGAATTTTGAAGTATCTTTGCGTTATAAAATTATTTATGGGCGCATGCATTCACTTACCTAGAACAAAGATAAAAGTTTTTAACAAAAAAAAAAACAAAAAAAAATGTTTCTCCTTACTTACAAACAGAATTGGCATGCAAGATCGGTTGGATATCCCCCTTTTCTCTAGCGAGCTCTAGGGAGAGTGAAAGTTGTGCAACTTCGAAAACGAAATGGCTCTTGAAATAGATGGGTTTAGGATTTTTTTCTATTTTTTATTTTATATTTTAGCTAATGATATTCAATTGCTCATCCAATGTCAAATCTAACAATCCAATTATCTACTTTTTCTTTTTTTTCCCACTTAGTATTTTATTAATTGCTAGTTTTCATTGCCAACATTAACTGTCAAGAAACTGGGCGTTGAGGGAAATAGCTATGAAGCCAATGTCTCCCAGTTGAAATTAAATCTTGTGATAAGTGCTCTTTTCTAAACTATTGTTTACTTATTTGATTCTGATAGATTTTCTAGCACTAGTTAATACTTTGAACATATCAAGTGAGTTAACATTTAAACTGGGCGTTGAGGGAAATAGCTCATGTTTGGGGGTATGTTCCTCACTGGTAGTATTTTTTCTTTGAACATATCAAGTGAGTTAACATTTAAAATATTTATTGGATTGTTAGATTTTTGATATATATCATATTAAGTTTGATATTTGAATTTTGATTTAAAAAAAAAAAAAAACTAAACTTAAGTTTTGTAGTAAGTAATTGATTCTTAATTTTATTTATTATTTATTTATTCGATATAAGATAGATTTTTTAATACTGTTAGAGGTAAAAGTTTATTTACTATCATTATCACCCCCTCACCATTTGACCTTTCTAATTTCTCTATTGGATTAGGTATAGAAGAAGTCTTTTCCTTTCTACAACACACTTAAGATTTTTTTCCACATGGTACTTTTTTCTTTTTTTCTTTTTTCATTTGACAGTAAGAATTTTTTTTTTTAGTTAGCATATTATTTGAAATTAAGTTAGTTTTGAGAGGATTCTAAGAATATACTCCCCGTTCCGACATAATGCATTAACAAAAATTTAATTATGTAAACTATCTACACAACATGCCTTTGTAACTATATTCTTTACTCGGAATGTTTTGAATTATATAAATTAAGAGCAGAAGAAGAAAAAAGAAAAAAGTATTATAGGATACTAGTGCATCTCACAACACACAAGTAGAACATGGAGATAAATTTCTCAGGGAAATCTACCTCTTACTTGTTGGCCTACGAAATAAAAATATTAAAGGTAAACATTATCAAGCATGAAAACATAATATTCGTGTTCAAAATTAGAACTTTTCATGCATCATAGTACGTATTCTATTTATATCAAAAAAAAAAATGGCATATACAAACAACAAATGCATATGCAGCAGTAAAGTAAGTTTGAACTCACAAAAGACCAGATTTGTTACGAGAAAAAAGCCTCCTTTTCAAGCGCTGCTGCTTATTCTCCTTTGCTAAACCTCTTAACTTCTTATACACAAAACTGTCTCCAGTTGTTTCTAGTATTACAAAACATGTTGAAGAACACTACAAGAAATGTAGCTTTCAAAAACAAAACATATATTTATTTTTTATTACAGTATATATCTTGAGCATCATAGGAAGATCCCACACAAACAACTAGCTAGAAGTTTGTCAAGAAAAGCTACCCCTCACTACCAAATTCTCAACCTCTGTCACTACCCGTAACACACTCTCATATTAAAGCACTAAGGCCAAGCCCTCCTATTTATACTAGTGCATCATATGTACGAAGACCTACTAGTATGTATGTATTGATCACACTTACCATTTTTTATGTATAGAGGTGAGAGACAGCGACTCCTACACGGTCACCGCACGACTTTGGGTAAAGCCGAGACCCACATATTGAGCGTGAATTAAGGGGACTTCCATGGCTGCCTCGACTACCATACCATACTCCGTCGATTGAGCACACATTTTCTTGCCAGCTATAACATATATGTTACATGGACATTAATGCACACATTAATATCACTTCTATATATATGGCCTAGATTATATATATAAAGGTAGGTAGTTAACAAAGTTGCCGTGTGTATATATATATAAGGAAAGGAAAAAACGCAAACAAATTCGACTACGGCGAAATTCGACAAGACAGTTTATGGTGAAAACGGAACGTTATCTGATTCCAAGCCACCACCACATGATTATGCTTCCAATTGAAACCAAAACAAGGCTCTGCACACGCAGTACTGTACTGCTGTAATTAAGGAAAAGCTGCGAGTGCCATTGCTAGAAATTCTGAAGCTCACACCTTGGCCCTTGCTATCAAAATTCTCAAGTTCACACTTACTGACCTCTCTCTCTCTCTCTCCACACATCACCACCCAGCACACACTCTCACATTAAAGCATTAAGGCCAAGCCCTCCTGTTGATACTACTTGTCTTAACCTAAATCTTGGTTTCCAATTTTTTTAATTTTATTTGTTTAGCTTAATTAATTCTTATTTTTAGTTGTTATTTTAGTTTGTCATTTACTCCTTCATTTCATCCTTTATTTATTTTTTTTATAGATATTTTGCTTTATTTTTATTCATTTTATTTTAGTATTCATTATTAAAACAAAAACCAAAAAATTGACAAGAGGAAATCAAAGTAGAAATAAAATAAAACCTAAAAAATATAATAATAATAATAATATACATAAACTGTAAACAAATGGATGGATAAATCGATCTTGGGACATAATTGCATTAAATCAATTCTAAATTGGAAGTTAATAGGGCTAAATTGAACAAAACTAAGATGAAATTTAAGGGCATAATTGAAAGGAAATTGAGGATACAATTGAAAATGTAGAGAGTGGAAGGACTGTTTCGTACTATGACATATGAAACAATGAAGGTTCAACAAATTCCTGCAAATCGAAAACTAGAAATGGTTTTTGATTAGATCATGGTTTCCTAACCATTTTTTATTCCCAACCAGCTCACCAGAGCCCTTGGCTTGATCCTCAAGCTATTCTGTAACAATTAGCAAAGGGAATCATTAGAAACGATAACAGAAGGGAGAGAGAAACAGGAAGAAAAGAATTTTGAAACGAAAACAGAATTGGTTAGAATTGGGTATAAATAGGGAGTTGAGAGGGACAGGAGGGAGGATTTTTAGGATTCTAAGGGGAAATCAAGAGCAAAGAGTGAAGAATCGAGAGATTTTGACATTTGGGGTTTCTTGGTTTTTCTAGGTCTGTTCTTCATTTTCTGGGGTTTTCTAGGTTTCGTTCCTTTGTTTCTGGGTCTTTGTTCCTCGTTGTTGGCTTCTTTTTTTTTTTCTTTTTTGTTTTTTTTTGGATCTCAAGAATACCAAAGAAGCATCCCAATTCATCAACAAACTTAATTTCGATTTCATCATCATCCTCACCAGTTCCAATTTCAAAAAAAAAAAAAAAAAGTCCCAAGTCACATTCAGTTTTCCAAAATGAAGCCAGTCCCTACAATCTCTTCTAATATTCCATAAGCGAAGGAAAATCATAGAACTAACACCACAGTTAACTCGTGTTTCTCAGTTTATTTCAATCCATTCTACTACTGCCATTGCATCTGCGTTCCCGTGAACAGAGGCAATACAACAGTCTCAATACATCCTAAGTCCTCGTGTAAGTCTTGTATTCATTCAGAATCATCAGGTATTCCATCATCCTTTTTATGTTTCGTTTGCATTAATTCACTTCCAAATCTTAATTTACAAGTTTTCATAACAATAAATCAAATAGATTAAGACAACAATTGGGTGAAGAAGGAAATGTAGGAGTTTCTAATTATGGATTGTTGAAAATTAGATTCAACAAGAATTGATATTTCAATTGATGAAAAAAAAAGAATCGGAGGAGACATGATTTTGTCTGTTCTTAGGCACGGGAGAAGAAAGACAATTGAGAAATAAAGAGATTGAGTAAGTTGGATCAATTTGAGCGAGAGGAAAAGGGAAAAAAAAATTAGGCAATGAGGCTTTGAGCTAGGCCTAAAAGAGAGAAAGGAAGGAAAATGGGCTGGGTCTGGCCCAACTTGAAAAAAAATAAAACAAACTTTAATTAATCCAGCCAAGAAGAAAAATGGGCTAGGTCTAGCCCAGCCCTAAAAGAAAAAATAGACAAGGTGAAATGCTAGTCCAGCCAAAAAGAAAAAAGAAGAAAAAAGAATCCAAGCCTAATGGGCCGAAAACCCAAAGGGCCCAATCACCCCATTTTCACTCTTTTATATTAGTGAACCATGCCTAAATTTATTTGTACTATATGCTTTTATTATTATTATTATTATTATTTACTATGCCTAGTTTAAATTTTATCTCTTTAAATTATTGTTTTGTCCATTTATTCATTTAATTTAAAAATGCTTAATTAGTTAGATTTACTTTAAGAATTAGGATAAATAATTAATCTGGTGAACAAATTGTCAAATCTTTTAATTTTTAGGGACCGGTAATGATTCTTCGCCAAAAATCAATAATCCATAATAATTAAAAAAATAATGACAAAAAAAAATATAAATATTAATATGAAAAAAAAGGCGGAAATTTAGGCTAGAAAAAAAAAAGATAGGAAAAGATCCTTATGTAGAAAATTATATATATATATATATAGAAAAAAATAAAGTATTAAAACGTTTTTTAACAAAGTCTCCTATCTAATAGAAATTATTGTTAGCAAAAAAAATACAAAAAATAAAAGAAATAAAAAAATCACTTTAGTAACTAAGTCGATCTCTATAATACAGAGTTATGTCAAGACTTAAAATAAATCGATGTTTAAACATAGGTGTCTCCCAATGAAGGGGTTCGATGATTGGTTCAATAGGATATGACAAAAAAAAATTAAAAATTTTAATTTGTCCTAAGAAATAAATAAATAAAAAGTTGCAATTTGTATTGGAATTAATTTGGAACAAATAAAACACGTTAGGAGATAAATTTTTAGACTCTATTAGACATAGTACCTTTCTTATGAAACGAGTCTTTTGGATGATCGATATCTTCTCAAAAGTAACCAACTCCTTACTTTAAAATCTCTGGACTCGTGCTATTTTTAGATTCCTAGCTTTTACAATACTAGGTGACGATTCTCAAAATTAATAATAACTTATATCTCTAGAAATTATAAATAATTCAGAAAATACTTAAATTTTAATTTTTGGGAGTCCCGTTGGATGTTAGGCAAGTTATAGATTTAGTCCTTGTAAATTCATCTCTTTTATTTATTTTTGCCATTTATTTTTAAAGTCTTTTATTTTACAAGTCATTCATTTTATTTCTTGTATTATTTTAAATCTTTTAAATTTTTGCAATATATTTTCTTTTAATTTTTTGCACACACCACGAAAAAAGCCTACAAAAGCTTTAGACTCTATCTAAAACCATATTAGGATTTAGATAGAGAGATTTGGAGGTAAGTATGATGAAAGTTTATCGATACTCTTTTGAACTCTCGTTTAGATCGAAACTCACCTTATGCATAGAAAATGATGGAATAATCTTTTCATATCTCCTCGTGTATAAGGTTATAGGTTAAATTATCCCACTAGTACTTCGGATAGTCTAGGAACTTGAAAAGACTTTAGAACTAGACTAGTTTTGCCTAAATCATGGAAAAGTTAGATCATATCGACTATGATCGATCTATTAAGACACGAATCATTTTCAAATTATTTTTATTTTAACCCTCGGCTTTTGCAAGCTATCACTCACATAAAACATGACAAAGCAAAATGGAAATGAAGTCGAGAATTTTAAGGTCAAATTAGAACAAGCCTAAATTGAAGAAGGAGACGAGTCTGTCTCTAAGCTTTGTGTCGAAGCGCCAGAAAAGGCTAGACTTACCGATGATGGCCAATGTGGTCCCACTCCTTAGTCATTGAGAGATGCTTACTCCTAAAGATAGATTTGACTTTTACAAAGCACATGATGACATAGCCCAATTACTTAAGATAAATACTTAGATCTCATGCTTTCAATTTATGATAGGGACGAGAGGCGATTGGTAGTTCTCTAACAACCCCATCGCACTCTATAATAGAGTCCGGTTTGTTGCTAAATGGTAGTCTCTATCCCCTCGATCCTATCTTCATACTAGGTAGAAACATTCTAGATATTTTCACCGGGATACCGCGAAGTGGCAGATGAGGAGTTGACATCGACCGTGAAAATACTAGGATGTATAAGCTCCGATGTTGTATACTCTCTCGCTTCTTCTCGCTTCTCAACGAGCATCAAAATATATCTTGGACATGTCGATATCTTGAGATGATGCATCACCCTTTTATCGCTCTTTAATTGTCGCTTCTTAGATTAACTACACGCTATCTTAAATCATTAAAATAATTATAATATTAAATTATAAAAATATTTTTTAGATTATATATATATATATATATTTAAAAATATAAAACCTTATCATTACTCGTTTGTGATCGCTTATCGATGAATGTCCTATCCTTCGCTTGTGAGTGGGCACGAACAATTATTAAGGATTTGGGTTACGACTCGGTTTATTATGCTGAAAAAACAAACAAAAAAAATATGAAATGAAATAAATACAAAATTAATTTATAACATAATGGAAAATATAATTTTTATCAAACATTTAGCATGCTCGATCAAAGTGATGGACTCTCTAGTATGCTTGGATAAGCTAGCACCGACACCACCCATCTCCAACATGCGGTTTCGAGATGTCCGCTAGGATCGAGCCTAATACTCGGGAGTAGCCCAATCCTAGTGTCACACTTCGACATGTCTTGTTTAAAAAACACGAGTTGGTTATTCTTATGCTAAAGCTTGTTAAGCATGTTGTCTTATCGCCTCCATGCCGGACTCTCTCATGCATTCTTAAACAATGCATCGATGATCGCATCCCATAAAAAGTACTTTTACATAAAAAAAAATAATATTAGTTCTTTTCATGTTAAATCAACCCTTTAAATAAAATATAAGTAAATAGTTAATATGTTACTCGAAACTCATTAAAGTAGAAGTCTTTCTTCTACATGAAGACAAAATTCTATATGGAGTCGACAACGTCCAATCGCTATTTGAAAATTATGGTGGTTTTTGTGGAGCATTTCCTTGATGAAACTAAAGCTGTTGAACAAAACAATTAATTAATTAATTAATTAATATTTTCAATTTAATATATGAAAATATATTACTTACTAATTATTTGCGATCCAAATGGTCCATCAATCATTAAATCCGAGTAGGACTTCTTAGAGTTAAGGAGATCGTAGTGAGATCATCCATCACAAAGGGCACTATCGGCGATGGCACTACCAACGAGGGCACTATCGGTGGGGGCACTATCGATGAGGGTACTACTAGAAGGGATGCGGACGTGTTGGCACCATTATCAAATCCGTGAATATCAAGTTTATGACCTAAGACAGTTAGACTAGAATTGTCATGTCCACGAATACTATTACTATCGGTGGTACGGTCAACATTAGAGTCATAACCACTAACACCGTGACCAAATCTAGCCAATCTACAAAGCATAACTCAAGAATAACGTCCGAAATAGTTTAAAAAATGAATAACAATTTGACATAAAATACATTATAAATTCTTTTGAATTAAAGCTAAAAACATCAAACTCTGTGATGAAGATCCGAGGAGTTTGAGATTTTTTATTTCTCACTACGAACTTTAGGTTCCATCCAACCTTTATATTTTCCTTTTCGGTTATCAATCACTCAATCACTACCAGTCATGGTGGCACCGTAACGATCGCCATATGAAGCAAAGCAATATGATGCCAAAATGAATGATTTGCTCACTAATGATGCACAAGATTTCTTCACAATATATGAGGAGGTTTTTGAGACCTTTGATTCGATTGAATTATAAGAGAACCTTCGAGGGGAATTTATGCCTATGGTTTTGAGAAGCCATCTACCATCCAACAAAGAGGACTTGTTCGTAAGGGCCTTAATATGATTTAGCGAGGCTCGGTGTGGAACCAGGAAAGCAATAACTTTCCGCCCGGCATTCTCCGAGTAACTTGATTATGGCCTAGTGTAATGTCAAGCATTGGTCCTAGCTCCCACTAGTAACTAGCACAATGGATTGAAAAGGTTATGTGAGCACTTGGTGATTATCTTGGTGTCAAAGTTCATGCTTGTGTTGGTGGAACAAGTGTTCATGAGGACCAACATATTCTTAAAGCTCGGTGTTCATGTTGTTATTGGCATACCTAGTCGTGTGTTTGATATGTCAAGTCGATGGTAGTCACTTCGTCCGGATTACATTAAAATATTTTTCTTAGATAAGGTCGATGAAATGCTTTCCTGTGGTTTTAAGAATCGGATCTATGATATTTTTTAGTTGTTTCCATCTAAAGTTCAAGTTGGTTTGTTCTCTATTACTATGCATCATGAAGCTCTTGAAATCACAAAGAAGTTTATGAACAAGCTCGTGAGGATCTTGGTTAAGCGTGATGAGCTTACCCTCGAAGGTATCAAACAGTTTTATGTCAATATCGATAAGGAGGATTGGAACTTAAAACGCTCCGTGATCTAGATGAGACCTTAGCCATCACCTAGAGTGTTATTTTTGTTAACATCCAACGCAAGGTTGGTCGGTTGATAGACAAGATGTGAAGTCGAGACCACACGAGTCTCGACTACATATGGAGATATGGATCGGAGCACTCATGATATCATTATGCGAGAATTCGGATCCGGCTCTGCTCGTGTTCTCATCACAACCTATCTCCCGGCTCATGGTATTTGTTAACGATATGCTCAATGTTGGTGATCGAAATCATGGGTATACAACCTTTTGACCCATAAATCATGCTTAAATATCTCACTTACTATCTATAGCTCCTCATGCGTATATATAAATATGAATCTATTCTTATGTGTACCGACACACAAAGTTAATACAATTCACTACAACAAAAAATGGATATAGAGGTAGAATTCTTAAGGCGAGTTTACAAAATCGCCTCAAAGCCTTTTAGCATTTGCACTCGAGTGAGATTTTTATAGGAAAAAGTTGGGGCGATTTTACGTAAGAGGCGCATATTTTATTTCATAATATATTTTTTTTTCGAAAGGGAGAAGGGCGTTTCATTTTCCCTCTCTTTAGGGTTTCCCGACTTCTCTTCCTTTGCTTACACTCTCGATTTTTTGCTTCCTTCTTCTCCTTCGATTCTTTATTTTAAATTTCTTTTGGTTTTAAAAGGGATAATATCATATATAAGTTTTTCTTCTTCACCTAATCTTCTTCTCCTCTACTTCTTACATCTTCTCGCTCTGTTACTCGAAAGTTATCCTTCTTCACCGGATCTTCTTCTCTTACGCCTCTTGTGTGTTCTTCTCTTTTTGTTCTTTCTTATTTTTAATTTTTTTAGTTGTGAAATGGATACAAACGCTGCATTGTCCCGCTCCTCTTAGGGTTTTTCTTCTCCTCCGCTTAATTCGTCTCCTCCGGGTTTGTTCGTCTCCTCCGGTTCATTCGTCTCCTCTCGCTTTGTTCTTCTCTCCAAATCAATTGGGCACTCATTGTGGAATTTCTCATTGATCTCTGTAAAGGTAAGTATGCTTAATTAATTTTGTGGCCTATCAATTAGATTACCTACTCTTTTCTTTTCTAATTACCTCTTAATTTTTGATCTAATCCGGTAATTGTCTTTTTCTTATTTTGTAACTTTGAAGTATTGAATTCCTATATGACTTGTTGTGTCATGCCTATATAATCTAGTTGTTAGTCGAAACATACGTATTAAGTCGGTTGTAGAAAGATGTCTCGAAGAATGTTGCATCACGTTTATCCAATGTTGAGGTTGGCAATGATTCTATGAAGATGCATCAGCATTAAGGTCTATAGTAGGACATCTTTTTGAGTAAACATACAAGAGTCGGTTGTAGAAAGAAAACTGAAACAAGTTTTAAAATTGTCCTTTAGGTTGAGATGGTTTGTATCATAATTTTGGTGAATCAAATTCGAGCTACCAATGTAGTGAATTCCTTATTTGTTGAGAAATAGTTTTCTACACAAATAAAAGTATGTCATGTGATATGGAATTCTCTTGCAATCTACTTTGGTATTTAAGTGTCTATTACGTTTATGGAACGACCGGTCTTACTATATAATTAATGAAGGGATGCCTAAATCTATACTGGAGCATGATGCATAGTGACTAATTTAATTTTCGGATCATGGCAATACATTATGCACGGTGACAAACATGTAGCCCATAAAGGATTCGAAAGGAACAAAAATAGGAGGTCGCCATATATATGATAACCTACAAGTTTAGCTTAGCCTTTTGTGGACGTACGAGTTTCTTGAAATCTATTCTTGTTTAATTAATCATCCTTAACTTTTATTCGATCTACAAAAGAATTTTTAAAAGTTGAAATGAAGTTGAAGTGAAGTTTCATAGTGGAGGATCGACTAAACCGACCATAGTTTATTGCGAAACTAAAGAAAAAGGTAAGAATAGAGTATTCAGCTCTGCTAAATAAATAGCAAAGAAACACCGACGTTTGCAAGATGATACCTCTTAAGATTTGTCAAGACCTTTTTTTTATCTAATCTTCTTTTAATATTATTATTCTTCTTGATATTAAAGTCCAAAGCTGTTGGGCTCGAAAGGATATGTAGATTAGTAGTTGGACATACCGACAAATAGGCAAAACAAAATTGATTAAAACGCCTAAGGTATACTACCGAGATTTCATGAAAGAATATCAAAATTGATCTTTTATATTCCTTAACATCACAAAGATGCAAGTAAACTGTTCTACAATCGGATGTTGAGTGATATCTAATTCATGATAAAGCAATGTCTTCCCTTTATAAGGTCTTAGTTGATCTTAATTAAACATATGGTTTAAAAGCTTAAAAAGGCAAAAAAAAAAAAAAAAGGATCATGATTTCCTAGAACAATTTAAAGCTATTGATTACATACATTTTCTTCTTGTTATGTAGGAAAATGCTAGGTTATCTGTTCGATTGACATTGCTTATAGTTCAATTTTGACGTTGGACAATCAAGATAAAGAAGACTATTTAGCTTGACGATGACTATTGCTTTTGCCTTAACAAAATCATACAAGATCACGGAAGAACCTACATAGGGTATTTCTTGTCCGGTTCAATTCAATAAAACGCTTTAGAAGATTCGTATGGTCAAATCATATTTAATAGTCATGTTGTTGCATAATAGTTTCAATCTATAATCGGGGTGAGAATTTTTATTGGGATCGGAAGATTGACTTGAATCCTTCATTTTTTTCTATAGCCATTAATGTTTCAAACTTCCGGTTGATGTAGTAAGAAAACCTTTTCCCACTATACTTGAAATGTTAATCCGTTAATAAGTAGTATATCCTATGTTAGTTCTATTACTGAAACTCTAAAGCTCGCAATCGGTTTAAGGCGGCCCGTGAAATACACATTCTAATATTTGGTTTCAAATTCAATCTCTTTGATTCCTTGTAGATTGTTTTAGGGATAAAAATGGGTATTGATTCAAAGGAATTTCAACATTTCATTTGGGGAGTTCTTAAATTTTCCATGAATTCGGATGTTTCGTTATCTCGTGTCTGTTTGATACTTGTTTCTTCCTTTAGTATTCTATTTATTGATTGGTAATTTTTTTTTATTTGTAGATTGGAATTGAATGTAAAGAATAGTGGAAGCATTACGGAAGATTAACTTTTAAAGGCTTGTGTGGTGACTACAATTACATCATTCTTTCTTTCTTTCTTTTTTTAATTATATAGTGGATAAGTTTATTTTTTTCTTCTAACTAATAAAACTGATTTTTTTCAGTATTTTTTTATGGTGGTTCAACCGAGTTGATTGAAGCATATTTGGTGGCTAATTTAGGTGACTACTTCAAGGTAAATATCTTATTAAAACTAAGACAACAAACTTATTGCATCTAACTTGTATTTGTGCTTCAAAGGAGCTAGGATTGTTTGCAATCAAATGGTTGTTGATATTGAGATTACAAAAGAGTTTTGTGCTGTTTTTTTTATTAAAAAAATTTATAACATTCTTTTAGGGATTATACAATATTTATGAAATGAATAGAAGTTGGATGAACAAGACTAGAACTAGTATTGAATATAAAAAAGGAGTTGAGGAATTTCTTAAATTAGCATTTCGTAATACATCTTATGGTGAAAGAATTTTTTGTCCTTGCATTCGATGCGGCAATTCTTCTTTACAAACATATGAAGATGCTAGAGTTCACTTAATTTATGATGGGTTTTAAGGGGGTATGCTCGGTGGGTTTTTCATGGAGAGAGTTCTTCTTTTAGTAACATTAGGCCATTTTCTTATGTTCCTACCTCACATCAACAAGAAGTGAGTTCTACCCATGAACCAACTTCTATTGATGTGAATTCACAACGATCAAATGATATGGTGGGGTTGTTACGTGATGCTTTTAGTGTAGTTGGTCAATGTTATAATGAAATGACCATGAATATAGACAAAATAAGTGAATATAAATGCGATAAAACTCATGATGACCAATGAATAATGAGATGAATGGGCAATGTCAAAGGTTTGATGTAGAGCAAGATAATGAACAGATCCACCCAAGAGTCAAATATGTTTAATGATTTATTAAAAAATATCAATGACGAGTTATATCCTGGATGTAAGTCATTTTCGAGGCTAGCTTTGATATTACATTTATACCATTTAAAATGTTTGAATGGGTGGATCGAGAAATCATTTACTATGTTATTGGAGTTATTAACTATTGCATTTCCTAAAGGTATACTTGTTACCTAAATCATTTTATGAGGCAAAAAAAAAAATCATTAAAGCTTTAGGTCTTGATTATGAGAAGATAAAAGCTTGTTCAAATGATTATATGTTATTTTGGGGTCATAAAAAAGATCTTGAAGTATGTGATAAATGTGATACCCTTGGTGGCAAAGAAAAGGGCAAAACAACATGGAAGGTGATAATGGTCATATGGAAACTTTAGGTGCTAGGAAGAAAATACCTACAAAAGTGTTGTGTTATTTTCCTTTAAATACCTCATTTACAAAGGTTATTTTGTTCAAATAAAGCTGCTAGTGATATAAGGTGGCATAAGAAAGGTCGTAAGAAAGATAGATTATCAAGACATCCCGTCGATGGAGAGCATAGAAAAATTTTGATGCTCAATATCCAGATTTTGCTTCGATTCTCGTAATGTAAGGCTCGCACTTGCTAGTAATGGTTTTAATCCTTTTAGAGCAATGAGCACTACCTATAGCACATGGCTTGTTGTATTGATTGTACATAATACTTCACCTTGGATTTGTAAGAAACAATCATCATTCATGTTATGAATGATTATTCTAGGTGAGAATAGTCCACAAAATGACATAGATGTATACACATAACCTTTGATAGCAGATTTGAAAAAATTATGGATAGGTGTAAAAACTTATGATGCTTATATAAAACAATCATTTAATATACATGCTTGCTTTGATGTGGACAATAAATGACTTCCCTGCTTATGCAAATTTATTTGGTTGGAGTACGAAAGGAAAGTTTGCATGCCCACGTTGTGTTGAGTTTACATGTTCTAAATGATTGTACAAAGGTAAGAAGCATTGTTTCATGGGTCATCGTCGATGGTTACCCGAGGATCATATATTCCGTTATCAAAAAGATTGTTTTGATGGTGCCGAAGAGCTGTAAATGGCACCATCTAGGAAAATGATACTGATGTGTTGAAATAGTTAGATGGCATACATTATACTTTTGGAAAATTAGTACAACATTAGAAAAAAAAAGGGTTATGAACCAAAAATGGATG